TCAAGGAGTTTCCCTTCCTTAAGAGAAGAAGGACGTTTTCCTGATTAGCAACATTTGGCTTAGAGTCCGTGAGGTCTTCGGAAACTTGAACCTCAGTCTTTCACCACCGTGGTTGAGTGGCAGGGCTGGCATTGTTGGGGTTCAGGTTCCCAGCGTCTCACATGCATTTAACACAGTTCAGCCTTTGGCAAGCTGCCACTCTCTGTGCTTGGTAGACGGTTCATGAAACTTGACACTCTCATGTCTTTCCTTGAAAATCTTGCAAGGTTCAGCAATCCTTCAGTGGCTGACCCAGTTCTGTTAAACTCCTGTTGTCAGACACAATTGTGAGGTTGTCCTGGACCTGTTGTCAGAGAACGCATTTCAGACTTTTTAAAAAAAGTTACCACCAGCCTAGTTCTGGAGCAACGATTAATGCTTTGGCTGCAGAAACGAGGAGTGCTCTTTGTGCTTAGTATGCTGTCACGGACTCCTCTTAAAATGTGGACAGATTTCCCCGAGCACTTGTTGTATCAGTAGAGCACAGTAAAGTAGAATTTGGACAATTACTCCTTTAGATTACTCATGTAAATAGAGCCTTAGAGAGTGCGTCTACAGAAAATACAATGAGCTCTTCCTAGTCAGGTAGAAGGGATGGTTTTGTGAGAGTAGCAGAGCTCTTACTGTATTTTTCTTTTAGCTAATTTTGCTTTGGTATTTGCCTCGGTGCTTCAGGTCTTTGGGGCCCATCCTTGCCCCTGATCTTAATATGGGGAGATGATACTTAATAAGAATAATGGTTGCAGGCATCTTATGTTGGTTGTTGCAGTATTGCCTAGCTGGAAATACACTGGCCTGCCTGGGGGGTCAGAAGCCCTAGATTGGAGCCCATATTCTAGCATTACTAAGGGTGTGATTTAGCTTAAGTGGTTCAGATTCCTGGTTTATAAAATGGGGATAATAAAGATGTCTCTCCCCACCCACACTCCGGCCCCCTTTTAGTAATAGTGCCTATAAAATGAGAAAATGAATTGCAGAGTGTCCTGTGACATACAGTGCTCTGCCATGAAGCTCCCGTTCTTGCTGTGGATGGGCATAGACCTCAGGTCTCAGGGAAGGATTGTGAGAGGACAGTTGCTGAGACTTTCCCCCTCTGTAGCCTCTGTGATTATGACCTGCTGTTTCTTAACCCACCCTAGAGGCAACGTGGACCACTTTGGGGCAACTCTGTTTATTACAAAGTTCTTTCTTCATTCAGCCGAAATTTATCCCTGTCATTTCCAAGGTAATTTTTACTCCTTGGTTCTAGTTTTACAGAGTAACATGAAACAGTTCAAATCAGTGCACTGCAAGTCTTAGCAATCTGTAACTGAGAAAGGGGTCTTACAACTCTGCTTCCTGTTTTTGGCAATTCAATTCAATAAGTAAGTGCTGGTGCCCGTCACGTGGGGGCCGTGTTCGCTGTGCGGCACTAAAGGCAGCTATTGTTTCTCCTGACATCCGGAAGTGTAATAGAAGGGCATGCAGCCCAAATGGAGATGAATGGGAAGTGAAGATTTTTTAACTCCTTAATGTGCAAAAACACAGTAGTTTTAATTTTATTTAGATTGTTTTTGGAATAAACAGTGCCTACTTCGATTGGACTATAAATGGCCATGCAGACTAATAATATACATATATACAGATAAAGACCAATATTTACATGAACCCATGTGTTTAACTACCAGTAAGTGAAAAAACACCCATATTTGCATTTAGGAAAATGGAGAAAAGGTGACCTGGAAGCGTGAGAATACTTTTGTATGTGCTCTAATTGATGTTCTTGTCGTCAGCACATCCCATGAGAGGATCCTGAAATGTCTTCTCAGTGATTAGAGGGACCACACTCTTTACACTGAGTTTTACACGTTGATTTATAGAATCCAAGACAAAAATGAACAAATGAAAAAGCAGTACGGCCTTAGCAGTAGGTGCCCCTAGCAGTTCTTGACCCCTGTTACTGACTAGCTGCATGCCTTTGAGGAAGCCAGCCCTTATTCCTCAGGAATTCGTTTCCCTCATAGTTAAAATGAGGCCAAAATTTTCTCTCCTGCTTGCATTATATAGTTGTTAGAATAAAATGTGATCATGTATGCAGATTTGAATATTAATACCACTTCTTGCAAGCCATGTAACTTTTGGTAAGATTAAGTTTCTTTTTGCCTGCTTCCTCATCTTTAAAATGGGATAATACTGGTAGCTACTTTGGGTGTTTTGTGAAAGCAAATGAGTTAATTCACAAAAATTGTTTTTCAGAAACATTGGTCTCTTATTACTTCATAAACTTTAAGTAATAACAGACCAATGTTTCTAAAAAACAGATGCCAAGATTAAAACTAGAAATAAAGACGCTGTTCTAATATGTAGAACAGTGCCTGACAGTCCTAATATATTAACTTTTTGGGTGAATGTTTGAAGTGTCTGTGACTTAGTATATTTTTAGTATACTGTATTTTCGAAATAGCGTATTTAAAAAAAAATGAAAATCACACCCTGTAAACAAACCAAACCCAGAACAGAATTGGCATGTTTTTATCTTCCTGATTACTTTGGTGGTTTCACAAGATATTACTACTTTGTCAAAAAAGCTTAATCATGATACTAAGAACCTATTCCTAAATGCCTTTTATCTTCAAAGCTTTGGGTCAACTTAATTTATTCTAGAAAATGCTTTTTACTGCCAGTGTGAATTTGGAAAGCTTTAGGTGGGAACTGGGATACAATTCTGCCTTCTCTGTTACTGTTAGGGTCTTGACTGTCTTAACTGTCCAGAGCTTTGCTTGCTTTATATGTAAAAAAAGGAGATTTTAAAAAATGTTATCTTTGAATTTTGAACAGTACCAAGGTTGAAGTGACTCATTTTGTTGTGACTCATTTAGCTTTTAGAAATAAGGAAATGTTGATCAAGAACTCCATTTATAACAGACCCATTCATAATAATCCTAGTGGCATATTTCACAGAAGCCATTTCCAGATAAAAATACTGATCATTACTTCCCTATAGCGTAAAATAAAATTGTGGGAAATGCTTAGAATTTAGCAAGTAATTAAGTTAACAAAGAACCATTTGTAAAAAGTCATAGTTTTGCCAGGCGCAGTGGCTCACGCCTGTAATCCCAGCACTTTGGGGGGCCGAGGTGGGCGGATCACTTGAGGTCAGAAGTTCAAGACCAGCCTGGCTAACATGGTGAAACCTCGTCTCTACTAAAAACACAAAAATTAGCTGGGGGTGGTGGCACATGCCTGTAATCCCAGCTACTCGGGAAGCTGAGGCAGGAGAATTGCTTGAACCCAGGAGGCGGAGGTTCCAGTGAGCTGAGATCACGCCATTGTACTCCAGCCTGGGTGACAGGGAGACTCTGTCTCCCAAAAAAAAAAAAAAAAGTCATAGTTTCCTTAACTATTATAACAAAGGACTTTATGAATTCAGAATTCTTTTGTATATTTTTGTTAAAGTGAAACCGAATGACTGTTGTCCTGTATCTTCAAGTTTATTACTAAGCTAAAATGATGTGATAGAGGAGGCTTTGTGCCACCACTGGCTTTTCAACCTCAGGTACACTTTTGATTAACACTGGTGCTGCTGATATGAAGCTGCTCATCTGCATATTAGTGTGGACAGTCATAGCTTGATATTACAGATTTTGATTATTATCTCATGGCTATATTTGAAAATCTGATTATAGAAAATAAGCATGGGGACTTCTTGTTTTCCTGCTTATCAGTGGAATTGAGGCTGTTGAACATTTTCTGTTTAATTTACCTTATGTGGAATTATACATATTTATACACCCCAGTTGCATTTTTAATGTCTCATGAACTCAAAATGCTTTTTTTCTAAGTATTTACTCATATCCAGTGTTACCTTGTAGTCCTAAATAACATAAGCCTAATCATTTTTAAATGAAGAAATTACTTTTAAATGTCCTAAAAGAAAAAACTAATTGGCTGGTCATCTGCTAGCCAATTTCTGTTAGAGTTTGCATTAAGGAATATGTGGTTTCTGTCTGGGGAGGTGACCAATAGGCTTTGTAGAATGGAAGAGATTCTTTTAAGAGCAAGATTATCTGATAGGAGGAAAAAGGCATGTTTGGAAACCCTGGATCCTGTGGTATTGAGGAAGGTTCTCTACTTCTTTTAACATCAGTTTCCCCATCTGTTAATGGGTATCTTTGTCTAGAAAGGTTGTAATATGTTCCTATAACAGTCCCAGGTGCATAATAGATTTTCAACAAATGGTAATTGTGACATTTTATGTTAGAAATTTATTCCATTTATGTTTAATATTTCAAAGCAATGCTGAAGAGATATTTGAGGATTCTCTGTTTTGTGAATGTATTAGTAGGCTTATAATTTTCTAAAGGTTCCCTAAAGACTTTGAGACCACCAGAAGGAATCCTTGATTTCTAAATAAACTAATCATTAAATAAGTTCTTACTTTTCAACTTTTATTTTTACTATGTTAGGGTTTTTCTAAAAATGGCCCTTTTTCCACTTTCCCAGTCTTGACATCTTTGTGAATTTAACTTTAGAACTTAACCTGCATAACTGAAAAGGATATAAAGTGCTGCTAGGATAGTTTCTTCAGTCACAATTTCATATTTTATTTCTTAATTTGTTTCTGGATTTTTGAGCCTTTTTATGGTCATTCATTAAAGTATCCTCCAGGACACAAATTATATTTTTAAGTTGGTCCCCTTGTGAGGGGAAAGGAAAGGATGTAATTAGGTACATGTTCACAGGCTGGACATTCTCCCCTGGCCTTTTACTTTTTCTGGTTCATCAGTGGTTTGGACCCTGTGTTCGTGTGTTGGTGTTCCTGGGCGGGAGCGGCTGTGTTCTAATGCAAGTTGAGCTGTGTGCTGCCTAGGGACCAATATTTGAAATGTCACATATTTTAATGAGATATAAAATTGCATGCTAAGTCTTTGTGTGTGTATGTGTGTTTAAAATCTAACTCTTTGTTCAATTTGTTTTTCCAGGTGGCATTTTCCTGAAGTTGTTCGTTAAGACTTCCCAGCATTCCTACAGATATAAATAGGTAAGTAAATGAAATCAGATGACCTTATTGTTGGTGATTGTTTGGAAACAATTTTCCAGTGAATGGCAACTTCTTGAAAAAGATGCAGTGTTTCAAACTTTTGAACCCTGTGTGGTAAGCACTAATTTTTTTTAAGGCTAGAAACATCACTTAGATGAGCATACATAAATGTTATAAACAACCCTGTGAAGTTTCATAAATGGTATTAAATTCAATGCTATAGTTGCCAGACTTCAAATCTAATATGCTTTGTTTGTCACCCTTCATACCCAAGTTTCAGAGCTCTTTATAGTAGGCATAGCTGAATTTAAGTTGTCTTTCCTTTTGAGCTTCTCTGTGGACCATTTCATCATTTTTATCATTTTTCTCAGACAGAGAAAGTAGAGATAGCTGATTAAAATTACCCAATTTTATTACTCAATGATAGCTCATATCTTCGGAAGGATTGTGGGAATAAAAGTTGAAGGCAGTTGACTAATAGGTGATTTATGATTAATTCTACAGGTTCTAATTTATAAAGGTCACTTTTTGAAAATATTAGTGAAGATAATAGAGGTTGAGTAATCTTGTACAATACACATTTAAGAAAATCAAGGGAGTACATAGTCAAATAATTGTCCCAAAAGACTTTGATCCAGCTCTGTTTCTCCCAAGGGAGAGGCCTATTCAGCCAGGTCCTCTCGGGTCTTGTTACAAACTGGAAGTTCGGCTCAGTCCAAAGAAGCCAGCTCAAGGTATGGATTTGGGACTTACTGACACCCTTTTCAGGAGGGTCTGCCATGTGGAGGGGATTTGCACACAGCATTTTCACAGACACCATCTCATTTGTAGGAAACTCTTTTAGCTTGCAGATTCTAGGGAAGGAAAAATTGCTCTTATGTTATGAAATGAACTGGTGACTCCTCAAATGTTAAGTTGTTCTAACAACTTCTATTGCTTAGGTTAGGAAGCTTGAGGTTTTTTTTGTTGTTGTTAAATGGGAATTGTAAATACTTGTGTGTTATGAAACTATTTGAGCAGAATTCCTTCTCATTGGAATGCCAGGGCTGACCTGAGACAGGTGGTGTCCTGAGCAGGCTAATCATTGGCACTTTATCAAACTGATAATCTTTATCTACTCCATCTTTATGTAGTGGAGGTGGGCGAAACTGATTTTCTATTAATAAAAATGTATACCTTTGCCTGTATGGTGAAATTAAGGAACTTATTACATGTGATTTTCTGAACCAGTTGCTCATAGACCTGTTTAAAGTTTGGCTAATAATACTGCCATGTGCTGCTCAGATGCAAAATTTCAGATGCTCGTCAGCTAGGTGACATTGGGTTTGGTAGTGAGGTCTGGTTTTTGCTCATATAGTTCTACAACTGCAGATACTCTCATCGGAGGCAGGTCTGTGCTGGGGAGGGGCATTTGTTTCTACTCCCGCGCACTGTCTGCCTGAGTGGTAACAGGAGCGATTTTCATTTTACCTGTTATTTCAGGAGTTGCATGTGAAAACCCGAGTGAAGAGGCTCTACACTTCTCACGTGTTTCCCAGTAATGGCTTAGTCCCCCCTTTGTGAGTGGTCACCGTGGTCACTGCCAGACTGGCCTATTTATTCCTGCTCTGGGGAAAAGCCAATTTCATTCTGCTGTGTTCCCTTAACACAGCAGACTATGAACAAAAGTTAAATTAAATGGTTAAATTAAATGTGGTTAAATTTAATGTGGTGTGTTCCCTTAAAATGCCCCCTCTCTGAATACTTAACCTAATAGAACCAGCCTTCTCTGTGTCTTTTTTTTTTTAGGTTGTGAATTCATCCCATGGAAATACAATAACACTTTATCAAGTCAGACAAACACAGGAACAGACATTCTGAATTAATGGTGTCTGAATTGTAGAGCAATCTGATCCTGCTTTTTTTTTTTTTTTTTTTTTTTTGAGGTGGAATCTCACTCTGTCTCTCAGGCTGGAGTGCAGTGACGTGAGCTTGGCTCACTGCAGCCTCTGCCTCCCCGGTTCGAGCAATTCTTCTGCCCCAGCCTCCCAAGTAGCTGGGATTACAGGCATCTGCCACCACGCCCGGCTGATTTCTGTATTTTTAGCAGAGACTGGGTTTCGCCATGTTGGTGATCCTGCTTTCTGTTACGTAGTCAGTCACGTTATATGACTTAGTGGAAGGTTTCTTTTGAGCGAAGAGCACAGTTGCAGTCTTGGGCGAGCCTGATGTTAGGCGATCCTTGGCAGAGGTTCCGTCTCTGTGGACACAGACCTGGATTGGGACCCCAGCTGTGGCACCAGCAGGCTCTGTGACCTAGGGCACTTTTCATTGCCATGTGGAATTCTCGTCTCTACTCATGGATAATACCTTCTTCCCAAAGTGGTGGGAAGATTGACCAACATAAAGATAGGAATGTGTGTGGTACGTAGTAAACAGCAGGTATTCCTCTGCTGGTTCCCTGGCACTGGGTATCGTGGAAAGAGCACAGGATGTGGAATCTGAGGGCTTGCTCTGCCAGGCTCTTGCTGTGCCTCTTTGGGCGAATCTCTTACCACCTGTGCCTCACTGACAAAGTGACAAGGGTAATACCTGCTCAGTTTTGCCTGCCTATTCCATGAGAATTGTGAGAAGGCTTTGAAAAGTGTGAATTTAGGGTGGGTGATCAGCATAAGTGGCCCCTACTAGGCATGCTTTTAATCCAGACTCTCTGGGCTTAAATCCCTGCTCTAACTACTTATAATTAGGTGAATGTCCTTGAGCAAGTGACTGTCACCCTGTCTAGTTCTCACCTATCTCACCTGATTGCTCTGAGAGTAAATGATGTACTGTTTGAATACTGGGGCATACAGAACTAGCACCTAATGAATATCGGTATACATGCTCGTAAATTCACTAGGACATAAGAAGGGAGGCAGAGAATCAGACATGAAAAAATATCCACAGTCTTAAAACCCCTCGTGTTTGAACTGTGTCTTGTTGAGCTGCCTTTTATCATGTTATGCAAGTTTGGACCAGGGAAGATGATCTGAATAAACTGAGGATGACCCCCACAAGGTGGGACTCCCTCGTGGGCGAATGCAGCACTGGGAGTTGGTCTTCCTGGGTTCTCTTCACAGGTGAACTGGGGACAGGTCTCTTCCCATCTAGGGGAATTCTAGCCGAAGGGGCAAAGTGAAAGCGCTATACCTGCACCATCCGATTCGGTCGTGTCTCCCCGTTAGTGTCTCCCTGTGTGGCTGCTGAGCACTTGACATATGGCTAGTGCGACTGAGGCACCAAAGTTTTCATCCTACTTACTTGAAAATTTAGAACTGAGAGTCGATTCGGTTTTTGGCAAAAGTTTAAGTATGTTTGGAACAACTTTCATATGTGATTCTACTTTTTCAACTGTAAATTTTATAAGTTTTAAACCAGATCAATTTTTCCTGATGGAAATTTTGTGCCTTAATTGAAATGTGCAATAAGTGCAAAATGCACAAGATTTTGAAGTGTTAAGTATTAGAAGAATGTAAAAATTCCATTAATAATTTTTATGCTGATCACATGTCAAAATCATAATGTTCTAGATATTTTGAGTTATATGAAATTTATTAAAATTGGTTTCTTTATGCTTTTTAATGTTGCTATAAAAATTTTAATACACATGACTTACGGTAATATTTTTATTGCACAGTGCTGTTCTAGAGCATCATAGAATTGGATAGCTTCTAATTTATCAAGTAAAATACTATTTTCCCTATTCGTTTTTGACGATTATGAAAGTTGGGTTTTTTCTTTTTTTAAGGTTTTGTTCATAGTCTGCCGATTAACAAGTTTGAGAAATGTTTTAAATATTCAAAATTGGGGGGGGGGAAGAAAAAATGCATAGCAAACAAGTTACCTAAGCCTTGTGTAATATCGCTCAAGGTCAATGTTTGCTTTCCTTGCAGTCCTTTGGCCTCCACTGCTTTGTGAAGCTGTCAAGGGAAGCCCTCAGAGCCTTCCCCTCACAACCACTCCCTAGGATATGAAACCAGTATTTTCAGCTAAATGATCCTCCTTCTTGATGATTATTGACTTGGACGTTTGTTGCAGGCACCATGTTCCTGGTATCACATACTGCTGTGCCCCAGGAGATCAGTTTAGGAACAGTCATCTAGGACAAAATGACTTTTAATTTACCCATAGTGATTCTGCACTCTCTTCTTACCATGTACCAGAAATATGGAGATATATTGCCAAGGGCATGATTGCTGGCTAGCTGCTTAGTTTTCAGCAGCAGGTGTAGGAAACATGAGAAGATAATACAGCGTAAGGGTATCAGTATGTGTGTTTCACATTGATGCCCTAGTGGCACTTATGTGCATTCTGAGAGGCAGTGGGTCGAGTGTTTGATTCAGAATCATTCTGGTCTGGGTTTGAGGATAGGCCACATCCCTTATGAGGCAATGGTGGTGAGGATAGCTAACCTCTGTCATTCTGTTCCTCTGTAGTTGGTGCCAATAGACACTGGCTGCTTTCCTTGTTAAAATTCTTTGATTGTGTGGACTCGATCTGTGATGCCTGTATTTTTTCGTGTAATAACCACAGCAAATACATTGCCATTGTTGTATTTTTCCAGACTGGGCAGATGGGTGGTACAGTTAAAAGCTCTATCTAGGAATTAAGCAGGATTGATATTTCTGTATTAAATAGAAACCATTATCAAATTTTTTGAAGAATCTTTACCTGAAGAAAGGTGTCTTTTCTTTGCATAGTTTAATTGTTATGATAATTGATCTTCTTAAATTCCAATATTAGAATATAGAATACATTTATACCATCAATTTGGAAGCAGTCAATAGGAATAGGAAGCATTTATTAAGAGAAAGTGTAACAACCTTCTCCCTTTACTTGATGGTAAATTGGACCAAATATAGGGTCCCTGGAGGGGAAAAATGATAAAGTAGAAATGACAGTGATATTCAAGATTTAACAAAACAAATCAGAGTAATTAAATGCATTGAAGACAAAATGGATGTAGTTCTTTTGTCATTTTC